TGTTTCCGAAGACGAGGAGGTTAGAGGATCCCCCCGGATTGAGCGCGTTGATCGTGTATAGTATAACAGAAAGCTGCTGTCTTCTCGCCTTCCGACTCGGAATCTGGGTTAAGAGGCTGACCTCGAGCCTCGATGGCTTTTGTCGAAGAAACTGTTTTAACGCGCCACCGACCACCCGCGCTCCGCTCGCCTTGCACGAGCTTCGATTCGTTAAAGATGGAAAAACAACCCCCGGAATCGGGATTTTTCTTACGCGCGCAACATCGTGGAATATTCATTCGTTTCGTTTCAATTCGCTCTGCTTTCGATACTTGGAAATGACATGATCTATGTATTCGTATTATTTGATTGTTATTTTCCTACCTGGCGAACAAAATCCTGATTATGAAAGTTAATTTTAATTTAGTTATAATCGAAATTATCATTAGCATTAACCACTGTTCTTTGCCCGAAATCGTAATATAACTATAATTTAATTTACCGTGAAGTAAGGAGGATCACTTTCTAGAATTTAGAGACTGAATTTAAAATTTTTCTAATTCCTTATATTTAACAAAATTCTTATATTTTTCAACATTAATACTAGTTCAAAGCTACTCCTAGATAGATACTAAAAAAAAAAAAAAAAAAATCACAGAAATACTAGCAGAAAATAATACGACCGTTTGAAACATTGAGGAACCGAAAGAGTAGGAGAACTCTGTGAAAATCAAAAGCGTACTTGGTAGCGTGCGTACCACGGACGTAATGACCCACTCTACGAACTTATCTCGCCGAAGACACACGGTTTTTCTAACGGATAACAACGGGGAGCTGTTGTTCCCTGTGCGTTATCCAGGAAGCAGCAGCTTTGATCAGCCTGGTAATGCATCGGCCCCATGAAAAAGCTCTGAAATTGCGACTCGTTGGATGGAGGAGTAGGCGGACCAGAGAAGAAGAAGGAGATTTAGGGTGAACAGTTGAGCCTTGAAAGGCCTAATCGTCCCGGCAGCCTCTTTGTACGCAAAGTTAATAACGTGTATTTATGTATTTGCCACGTTTAATTGCCTGTGCGGCTATTACATTCGCTCTGAAATGCTCGCTCCCGCCTTGAATACACCGCGGAGGGTAGTATTAAGTACTTGCTCGAGTGGTCCGCGAGTCTGGCAATGACACGAGACCTTCTACTGCACAGACCTGCAAAGACCATTCCTCTTAAACTTATTAAATGTCGATACTCGAAAATTTCTATTGAATTTCTCTTCTTTTTGCTATTAGAAACTATTTCGTTTTAAAAAAAGTTTCCTTTTTTTTTAAACGAATGTAGAATATCCTTTTTATAAGAAGTTTGAATCATTTGGTCACTGTTGTAGTATTACTATTATACTTGTTAAATATGTTTGTATTACGAAATTTCTATAATTTGCATCTTTTAGAAAAAAGAAGAAAAAAAGTGGTATATATATATAATTTTTTTGATAACGAGTTTGGTTGATTGTTATTCTACGTTTTAAGTAGACTTGTTACACTGATAATTTTATAGGTTTTTGTAATTGAAATCTTAACTTCAAAATTGAGAAATTTTCTGTCATAGATAGAGTTCAGTTTCAGATTTATATTACCTATATACATCAGCGTGTGTCAGTATATTGTAAATATATTATATAAATAGTATTACCATGAAATTGTTATTGGAAATTAATATGTGTAATATTCTGCCGTTGCCTCAATAAATATTCAAATCGTTAGCTTTCGGTAGAGTACAGTATTATATTGAAGAATTATTGTTTCAGTTGATGGATAAATTAATATCCACCAATATCTATTTGATTTGCTTAGAATATGTAAATATGTATAAATGTTATCACTGGAGAATCATTGCTATAAATTAACTTACACGTTCCTTGTTGTTTTTACAAATTGTTTGAAGATTTATTGGTGATTTTATGAACTATATGTTGAAAAAGTAAAGATAAATAAATAGATAAAAAAAATGGATTAAAAAACAAATGAAATGAAATGAATATAAAATTATTCACTATCAACTTAATTTTTAACATTACTATTAAATCTTGCTCGAAATATTCCTTTTTTTATTTAGGCATCTACGTACATTGCAGTTATAGAAAAATCAAATATGAGCGCCATTTTAAATTACTTTTTTCAAAACCAAAAAAAGAATTCAACAAAATAAAAATGAAATGTAAACCAGAACGTCAATAAAATATTTTGAATATTTCAAAAGATATGTTCTCTTCACATTTTTAATTATATGTACAATGAAAATTCAAATTAATTTGTAGGTTACAAACAAACTAGTTAAAAGACTTGGCGCCTAATTTATGGTAGCCATATTTAAAAATTCGTTCACATTCTGAAAAATTAAATTCTGTCTAAAATCTTTGTCAAATGTATCATACTATATTTTCATCTTATATTTCATTTCTTTTTCGTAATTTGATATTGACATTAATAACATTCGTATTATAATTGTTATTGTATTAAAAGTAGGATCTAAATACCAACCTATACTTTAAGTTTTCCTCTTCATTAAAGGAATTGTGATCGAAAGAATCCTAATATAAACGAATTTGAATTACACTATGTAAATCCTTCCTTAAATCTTCTAATATTGTACATCATTGTTGTTTTATCATTCACTTTTACGGCGTTCCATTACGAACAAAAGTAACGGACTCTCCTAAACAGAGAGTCTGTCAAATTAAATAGCACAGTGAGCGCTATCTAGTGACAAATTTCAAAAACAAAATTGCCGCAAGCGCTTTAAATATGGCGCTCCTCTTGGCATTGAATTATGAATTCTCCTAACCTTGTTGAATGTCATTTGTTAATTCATTAGGTAATAGACTAGTCATCATGTTCCTAATAATAAAAAAATAAATAAAATAAATCGTTTAGCTGATCGGTATGAACTCGAAATATGACAAATATATCATAAAACATAACTCGAATATTAGCGTATTTCATTTCAATTAAATTACAAAGAAAATAATATTTTATAAATATGTCTATATTGCGAGCTGTATTATTTAAGCATTATACCAATTATTCAAAATGTTCAAGGTATCACTCATATTTTGTAGTAAATTTTTCATACAATAAATTGTAATAATTCTAAGTTTACGTTAAATCACTGCAAATAATGTTTCTGTTATAGGGATTCGATGCTATTACTCTTATCGAAACAAAGGAGCTCATCGTTTAATATAGTAAAACGAAAATTTAGCAGTGGCATTAACGAATCTGTAAAAAATAACACTAATAAATTAAAATCAATTTTAAAATTTGGTTCAGGTGGTTTAGGTAGTATAATAATAACATGCTTGATAAAGTGTCATACTTGTGCTGTTGAAGGCAAAACACTTAAACTCTCGGAAAATATTAGAAAAGATAATAAGGAATTGACTTTTAAATGGAAAAAATTCTTAGAATATTTATATCCATATCTTTGGCAATTATTGATAGCATTATCAGTAAGTATCCAATATATATGAAGATTTTATGCTTTTTTTTAATGAACTTATAATTTCTAGAGTGCAATGGTTGTTGCTGTATTAAATATTTGGATACCACAGCATGTAGGAAATGTCATCAATATATTGACAAAAATTTGCCAAACAAGAGGTGAAGATAGCTTAAAAACTGTGCTATTGCAGTTGACAGAACCTGCATTTGCATTGGCACGTATGTATGTTGTACAAGTATGTAATTGTTAATCCAACAAAAAAAATATATTTATTATAATATTATTTATAAAAATAATTTGAACAAAAGAACTTTTAGAGAATAATAAAAAATGTTCTATTTTTAGGCACTTTTTACCTTTGTATATATTTATATGCTTTCACACGTGGGAGAAAGAATAGCAATGAATTTGAGACAAGATTTATTTAAATCGATTATAATGCAAGACATCACATTCTTTGATAAGAATCGTAGTGGTGAAATAGTAAGTCGATTAACCAGTGATATTCAAGACTTTAAAAGTACCTTTAAAATATGTATATCGCAAGGCTTAAGAAGTACAACGCAAATTATTGGGTGTATAGTTTCTGTAATAGGGATTTCACCACAACTGACTGCAGCTACAGTATTGTCTTTGCCAACTATAATTCTTATTGGCACGTTGCTTGGAAGAGGCTTGAGAAAATTATCTACAGAGGCACAAAATCAACTCGCTAAGTCTACAGATGTTTGTGAAGAAGCTATACAAAACATTAGAACGGTACTATCATTTATGATAGTGGTAATAAGATTCCTTTAAATAATATGTAATATATCATTTTTGTAGGTGAAAGCATTTGCAGCTGAAGAAAAAGAGATAGATATGTTTTGTAAGGAAACTGCATTAGGAGCTACATTATATGAAAAATTGGGTTTGGGAATTGGTTTATTTCAAGGAGGAACAAATCTATTTCTTAATGGTATTTTACTTTGTACCTTATATTTTGGTGGACATTTATTGTCTACTGGACAATTATCTCCCGGAGAATTAATGGCATTTTTAATGGCTACTCAAACTATACAAAAATCTTTATCTCAATTATCTCTGTTGTTTGGATCATATGTTAGAGGTATTAGTGCTGGCGCTAGAGTTTTTGAGGTACATATACAATTTTATGTTTCATAACATTATAATAAGAAGTATTTTCTATTTTATAATTTATTATTAATTTATTGTTACAGTACCTAGAGATGCCACCATCAAATCAGATGGTTAGTGGGCAAGTTATTACAGACCAGTCTCTTGCAGGAAATATTACGTTTAAAAACGTGAAATTTAGTTATCCTACTCGTCCGGATCACGTTATTTTAAAGAATTTTAACTTACACATTCCTGCTGGGAAAACAGTAGCTATCGTTGGATCTAGCGGTAATGGAAAATCAACGATAGCTGTTTTGTTAGAAAGGTAGATTCAAAATTTGTTTCACATAAAATTTGATCATTAATAGTCTAAATGGCATAAAATATTTCAGATTTTATGACGTTAATGATGGCTCAATTACAATTGATGGTAAAGATTTAAAATCACTCAATGCTGGTTACCTTCGGGGTAACGTCTTAGGATATATAAATCAAGAACCTATTTTATTTGCTACTAGTATTATGGAGAATATACGATATGGAAAACCGGATGCTACGAATGAAGATGTAAGTATTACTGTTAGAATTAAAAGTATATTTCTATAAAAAATTAATTATTTTTATATATTATTAGGTCATTGAAGCTGCCAAAGAAGCGAATGCTCATGAATTTATTATGAATTTCCCAAATAAGTACAATACGCAAGTAGGTGAAAGAGGGGCACAACTTTCTGGTGGACAAAAACAGCGTGTTGCAATTGCAAGGGCTTTATTAAAAAGACCCTCTATTTTAATTTTGGATGAAGCTACAAGGTAAGAATCATGGGCAATACTCACTTTAACAAATCTGTATATTTAATTTCGTTTTTCTAATTTTATATATCATTTAGCGCGTTAGATTATGAAAGTGAAAGAATTGTACAGAAAGCGTTAGACAATGTCACTCAAGGTAGAACAGTCGTGGTAATCGCTCATAGATTAAGCACGATTAAAAATGCTGACATTATCGTTGTATTGCAGCGAGGAGTAATCGCAGAAGTACGTTATACAAACATAAAATTCCAGGCATGACATGAAATTAAATTTACGTATTTATTATCATATCTTATTTTCAGATGGGTACACATACAGAATTAATTAAAAACAAAGGTTTATATTACACTTTAGTGAACGAACAAGAGAAAGAGAATGCATGATGTTAATAGAACTTTAAATCATAGTACAATTTTTGGAATAAATATTTATTTTAAAATAATAGGGATAATATTTAATAATATTGAATATTCTATAAACTACCTCCGATTCTAATATATATATATATACATATATAAATATACATAATTTATATTTTAAAATATACGTGATTTATCTATCTTTATCCTTGTGTGTATCTGCTATATTAATATTTTTAATTTAATACGTCAATGCAAATTATTAAAATAGAAATTTATTAATGCCCCTTATAAGAACTTTTCAGTGATGTAACTCCTTAAAAATTTTTTTCAAGTAATGTTTAATCTTATCAATGATACTTGATACTGCTGACGCAAGAGGTAATGCAACATTCTTTGATCTCGTTTTTCCAGAATGTGTATGTTTCGGTTTAATCGCAGATTCTTTTTCTGCAACATTGTTACATATGTTCTCAGTATCTGTAATCGGAGAATGTGGACGCTTATGGGACGATTTGACTGTACTACTTTCTATATGTGCGTTAAAATTAGGAATCAGCTCTTGGAAACTTGTTGATTCAGAAATATCATTTATTGTTGAACTAAATGCATCACTTTCTACGGATGTTAGATCTGTTGATGATATATCACGCCCTGAAGGCGTAGAATTTGGCTTCTCGGTTATTATTTCTTCAGTATTAATTTCAGGTGTTGTATTATCATTCTGTAACAAAGGTTGTTTTTCGGCAGTGCTGATCCAGCTTGTTGGCTCAGTGGTTATCATTCCAGACCAATTGTTATTTGATGATTCAGTGGATTCATCTTCATTGGGAACTTGTTCATTACTTTCCTTACCATCGTGTTCTGAATTTTTTCTTGGTGTAGTTATTTCTAATGGTTCATTTGTGTCTGTTTCTGTATTAGGTGTCTCCTTGTTACTATGTAACGGCAAATCAATTAAAATATTTGGAGTAATATTGGTAGTTTCAATTTCAGTAATTGGTCCTTCAGTAAATTCTTGACTTTCCACAGTAAATTCTCCAGGAGTTTCGGAGGACGATTCGGTTGGTATTATTATTGTAACCAGTTCTCCTTCAGTTTCTTCAGATTTTCCAGGCGATTCATTTACTTCTGTAATCGATTCATTTCCCACACTTGAACTAGATGTTGTTAAATCGGGTAAAATTGTTGATGCAGTGTTGATTTCAGTAGTCGATTCTCCCATTGTATTAAAATCAAATTCATCGGTGGGAATTTCTAAAGATGGTTCCATTGGAATTATTGGTTGTTCGCTTGATTCTGCATTACTAGAAGTCGTAGAAGAAGCATCTTCTACGCTTCTTGATGAAGTTTGATCTTCCACATTTGGTTCCTCAGTAGTTCCCATTGTAGATGAACTTGTTTCTGTAATTTGTCCTTCCGATTCTGTATTGCTAGAGGTTTCAGTTGTATCGATGCTTTCGGGTTTAGTAGTTTCTTGGCTAATTTCTTCAGAACTAAGAATCTCAGCGGATGGTTCAGGAGTTGTTGAATCATTTAAAATTGTTGATGCAACGTTACTTTGCTCGTTAGAATCCGTTATAGTTTCAGTATGATCTTCGGATGGCCCTAAGGTTGTAGATAATTCGCCATTATCATTTATCTCTGTAGGCGAATTAAATCCAGTCGTGGTCTCTTCTGCGATTGTCGCAGTTGTACGTATCGCAAGATCTGTGTTTGTAGAACGTGACTCTTCCGGAGCACGTTCCGTCGTCGTCATAATATCGCTGTTGTTACTTGATCCCGTGAATGCAGATATGGATGGTACGGCACGAGGAGTAGTCGACAAAATTTTATCATCATGTGACGACGGAATAGTAGTTCCTTCTTCGTCCGTAAATATCGTTTCACAATGTCTTGATCTCTTTTTTCCAGAGGATCTTGAAAACTGCGGGAGTAGACGATCCTCGCACGAGGATAATGGTTTTCGCTGTTGACAAGTACGCGAGGGCTTACACAATTCAGTTTCTCTATCGTAAGCCATCTCTTTTGGACAAGTATAGAAATTTTGATGCATTCGATGACCGGAAACCGAGCAAGTGTAAAATAAGCCACAATTATTTGGAACTGGAAATGAGCCTAATCTTCGACATTCGAGGTGTTGAGCGGAATCAAAAATATCCGAATTTTCTCTATTGATAGCAGAAATGTATTTTCCACGAGGAACTAGGACGCATTTTTGTAGATGAGTATCGAAGTGTCTCTTTTGAGAACATTCGGCTAATATGATTTTATCTTTTTTACAAATGTAGTAGTATCTCGGATTTGTGCAATGTGGTATCAATGTATTCGACTCGCAGGATTTTGTATTATTTATGTAAAGAGCTCTTCCACCTCCGATCACGCTCATACAATGGCCTTTGTCTTCGTCAAAATATTGGTTGGTCCTGCATGGTGGATACCTCGATTTCAAGTTTCTGGAATACCTGCGTACTCCATAATTTGTGTTATCTGTATCATCACCCTCCTGTGAATAATTAGGGGTTCGTTTATCAGATTATGTATCTAGAATATAAATTAAATCGACGATGTTTCTTTCGACGCTGTCGTTATTGATAATTTTCGAATAAAAAATGTCAAAAGTTCTAAAGAAAAAATTCAAGTTTTTCTTTTATTTGACTGGGAAAATTATTATATTAAATTCGTTGGTTTCTTAGAACTATATCGAATTTACTTTGTATTATTGTTCTTAAGAAATAGAAAAGGAATTTTTTCTTGTAAACTCTAATAATAAAGTAATAAAAGACTCACAGCTAATTCGCTCACTGGTTGACCAACTACGATTAGCACCACAAATTGCAACAGGAAAATTAAAATAAAACTCTTCATATTTGATAATCACATTAAGCAAAGTTAAAATTTTTTTACCAATTTTGACCAGTGAAAACACACCTTTTTACACTCGTTGCCGAAACTTTTCTGACCGTTGAAGTAACGTGTTCCAGCATTTTTATATCAAAGACGTGCTGGATAATAATTAAGCCGCGATAGCTATGATTATCAAAAACGTCATTTTTCATAACATACAAATGCGTGATCAAGTTTACACACTGTTCCTAAATTAAAATTGTTTAATTAACTTGCACGTTTTATAAATTTGGGAAAAGTCAGTCTCTCTGATATTTAAGACGATAACAGTAACAAAATGTATAAAAGAATGCGATGGTCGTTTAATTTAGAAGTATGGTTACAGGGAGAGAAAGGAACAGCTACAAATAAAAACAAATATTTATTAGACGACTATACTGGCAATAGGTAATAAGTCAGTAACAAATCTGTATATACAATATTTCGTTGAAATACATATCTACAAGATGATTCTCTTCTGTTTGTTCATTAAAATAGCGTACACAGTAATTTTCTCTCAAGTATGCTGAAATAGGACTCAATTCTAGGATTGCGTATCGTTGTTCGTGATTAAAGCGGGGGGCTGTACAATTTTTAGACTGATCAATCGTTATTTTTCAGTGTGTGTAGAAATCGTTTAACAATCGTATTGCGGCACTCTGTATGTAAAGTTATTACTCGTCACAATATGAATTCCTGCACCGTAATATGGCATCACATAATGCGAACCATCCGCAGGTCCTACGATTTGTGTTGCAATAAGTATTACATCAGCAAATTGACCGAGAAAGAGAAACCCCAAAGTACTCAGCTTAAGCAAGCCCAATGCTGGATATCCTAGATAAAATCTATCTGCTCCGAACATTCCAAGAAATATAGAGAGTAACAATGATGTCTCGAAGGAATATCCATTTCTGCGAACATGAAAGAGAATTTTATTTATTACATGTTGTTTTTATATATATTTTTTTACATCAAATATTAGATATTAAATCATGTTTGAAACGTTAATACAGTAAATACAGTAAATAATATCATGTATACTTACGTCCATTTACAAGGAATATCCTTCTTGAATGTATTATTTTTTGTTTCTGTACAAATGAGGCCATCCGCAGCCAGACATAACACTGAAAACAACATAATGAGCATGTGATTTGAAGTTTCATATATACAAAGTTACAGAACATAATACATTTGTTCACCAGTGAACAAAAAGAAGGGAAAGAAATTGAAAATAACTAGTAATTACGGAATACACGTTTGAAGCATATCTGTGGTATAGGTTATGTCGCACCTCTCTTCGTTTTGAATGCAATAAAAGAAAAGAAACGATAAAGTTTACGTACCTTTGGCTTTATTTTCCTTTGTGCAACCTTTGGGCTGTTGCGTTTTCGGATCTATGAAATCATAATCGGGATGAGGACAGATGTATTGTCCCATTCGTAGGTTATTGCAGTCGATTTCATACGTGTATTCAACACCATTGCTCAGCGGTATCGAGAGAAGAAGCAAAAGGAGCCCGCTAAGGAATTGCATCAGATGGAACATGCCGTTTCATTTTACAACAATTACTACGAATACCACAGTGTCACTGGATCCACTGTCTCTCGTAGTTTCGCGACATCCCGTACATGTTTGTTGTATTTTGAACGCACTGCCATTAAACTGATGTCACCCTGGCGCCAACTGCTTGGAATCCCCACGAACTATAATTTATTTCTTCTGGCGCCAGTTTTCTCGTTAATATCAAACAGATCGCATTAACAAGAAGAATGTTCTACATAGTACGATAATTCTCAATTCTAACCTTTAAATTGCATGAATCAAATACTCCAGTCGAAGCGTATAATCGTTTACAACATATAACACAATATTTCTTGGAGAAGTTGAAACTTCATCCGTAAGTTTTCTTTAATAAACGTATTAAAGTAAAACAGATGGCCTCGCTAATCATTTGAGCAGAGAATATAGAGCAATTATAAAATTCATTATTACTTTCTATTCGATCTTCTAATTTTCTTTTCCCAGTTACGTTGCGTAAGATCGTGCGTAAAGAGTTTGTACGAGTCCGCTATTAAGTTGCGTTAGTGAGGAGAAACAAACAATGGAAGACCGTCGTGATAGTCGAGCATTTTTTCTGTGCTAAAATGGCTTCTTCGTCGTTGAAAAGTACTCGGAAAACTTATAGCTTCGAAGAGCGAGAAATTTTGATAACCTTGATAAACAAGTACGAAGATATCGAGGATAAGAGATCGGATCCGGTATCGATGTATAAACGAAAATCAGCATGGTCTCAATTGGCCAATGAATACAATTCGATGGTAGGCCCACAAGCGATACGTTCGGCTGTACAGTTGAGACGTTGCTGGGAAAATATGAAAGCATGCAAACGAAATCGGGAGGAGAAAAAGTTACGGTAAATATGATATATTCGTCACGTTAGTTTTAAGTTATTCATCGCCTTGTATATAAAAGCGCGGGAATATACGAATATTGTCTAATCATGTGTGTAGGGCGTTTTATTTATGATTATTGTTTTATCATTATCAATCTCATAATGGTATGTTGATTTTTTTCAGTAGTATTTCAAAGAATTTTTGCCACCTATCTAAAGACCATACACGATCGAAAAGTTGGGAAAATAGAAATTCCATGGTGGATGTTTCTATTTCTACCGGAACTGTAGGTTTGCCGCCAAATGTCGTGTTTGAACCGAAGGAATCTGAACCGTTTACGTTGCAAACAGTCTGTACTATAAAGCCCCCGAAACAATCCTCAAAAGAGGAAAATAATTATAAAGACTCAGGTCTTTAAACTTTATTCCCTTTATATTTTTATTTTCTCCTATCTTTTTTTGTTCTTTTCTTTTTTGTAAAAACCTTGAATTTTATAATGGAATTAATTTATGAGGCTTAGATAAAACAAATATTCTATTCATAATTGACTGATCTATCTATTTCTTAAAGTATTTTATTTCTGTTTTATTTCTTAAGCGAGATCTTTTAAAAAAATTTCTTCTCTCACTTTAATAATACTCTTCTAAAGTTTTCTAGCTTCCAAAATAATTTTGAAATCCTTCGTTTCTATCAAAAATTAATGACATGTCATATTTTCCAAAATATAATCATTCAACGTATCGTTTTTTATTTCTACAGATTCTGTCAGCAGTAAAATCGATTCGAATTCATTGTCACACGGTCCAGTGACCGACTGTTTCGATAAATCTAAAACGGATTCAGAGTCGCCTGTGGTTGACCAGTTAGACAAAGACGAACTATCAGAGAAACATCGAATAATTTTCAAATCGAACGCTACTCAAACGTTAATCTCTCCATCGATTGTTCATGAACAGCCTCGAAGGATGAAGAGGTCCCTTCACAAAGAGGAAGAGCTGCACGTATTAGCCTTATCGGAGGCACAGATGAAAGTTGATATCGCAGCCATGTTGAAAGAAGAGGCCAGAATTAAATTAGAAGAGGCTCACTATCGCAAAGAGGAGGCTAGGTTGAGGATGCTTCTTTTTACGTATAAGCTTGATAGGATAAAGGAAGATTGACCGGAGAGAATAAAATGAATATATTCGTGACGCTTCGTACGATGACTTTGTTCAGTCCCTTTTCATAGGAATAGAAAGAAGAGAGAGAGAGAGAGAGAGAGATTTACTATTAGATTAAATGTAAACGAACGGTATTCGATCTCTGTAATATCTGTTTATTATTTGTAATTCCTTTCTAGCTACAATTGAAATCATAATAAATAAAAGGTCGTAATGCTAGCTACTTATGATTCGCTAATAATATTTTTTAAACACGAACAAGGAGCTTTTTCGATCCTTGTTATCGAACTAATTATAAGTTGTATAAATAATATAAATGCTTTTATTTTATAGTGCTAACTTAAAACTGATAGATTGGAAATAATAGTAAATTTATGAGGACATCGACTTATGAATTCAGTTTAATAGGAAATATAGTTATACAGTTCTAATTATAAATACAAATAAAGTTAAATGGAAAGAGGTTCTTCAATCTCGATTATTTTATAAACAAATTTGACGACTTATTTCGTACTAGTTTAGCCAAAAAAGGACTTGCTTTCTAAACATTCTTTTTTATGACTGTTAAACTCAATGTATTTTTATTCCAAGGTTCTACTTATTTTTTTTTTT